ATATCGGATTTTTGAATATCCTGAATTTAATAGCATTTATCTTGGCTCAGTACACCAATTTGTTGAGTTACTGCAAATTATACGAAATCGGCGAAACGTATAACAACAAGAGATTTTGACACATATGTAATTTTAACTCTTTTTTAATTTGAATTTTATTTTGAATATCAAAAAGTCAACAATTTTAAGTTACTTCTAATTTTGGTGAAAAATAATCGACATATATTTTACATTTAGTATATAGATTTATTTTTATTAAATAAAATGTAGTACAAGTTTGAGCTTTGATTGAGACAATGGTTAAATATTAACTTCTCACTCGTAAAATTTTCGACAAGTATATTTTTAACATTACAGAATTATAAAAATATATTATCATTGGTGATTAATTTTTTTATATGTAAGGGTCTCATTATTGTATCTCCGTCAGATAATTGTCAGTAAATGCCTGGTTCATATACTGATGGAAAATCGAAATTATTTTCATAATGAAGCATTATTCTTCGTTGTTTTCTGTAAAATCTATTTGCGAAGTGTAGTTGGTTCCGTTGGAGATTCTTGTTACAAAATCGGAATTAATCCTGAAGGTTCTATAAGCAGTTCTCGCGCAGAAATAATTTTGTCAATGAGTCAATTACAATTATATTATCTACGATATGTATTTTAAAATTAAGTTACGAATTAATTTAGTGGTATAATTTAGAAAACAATTTTCTTCGCTTTCTTAATTTTACTAAATGTTCTCCTATTAGTAATAATGCTAGTAACAATACTGTCTTAATGACAATAAAACTTTAGTATCTTATAGATATATAATAATATATTTGTTTATACATTCAAATTTCATACAAATGATTTACTTCAATTTTTTTTACTTATGTTTTAATAAAAATGTAGTTACGAATGTATATATTAAATGCTCTAACAGTTAACTGTTTTAAAAATTATTTTCAGGTATTGGACATCCCGCTATTCTAGGATATTAATTAATTAATTAATTGCAGCTTCTCTAATATGTTTATATATCTATATTTATAATAAAATGCATGCACGTATTATAAGATTATATTTAACAAATTTTGATTTTTGTGTCAACTTAGATAAACCAAAATGTTTTGTACTCTTTCAACAATGGTATCATGAATACATGAATTTGATTAAAAAAGTGTGGATACAGAAAATTCGAGATAAGTCGAATGGGTACCCTCATATTAGCGGGATTATAATAATTAAAATGTTTAGCCTGAAATATATGCAGGAAATATTGTCACATTTTATATAATAATTATTTCAATATAAAATAATAGAAAATAATTCTTTAAAATCCCACTATTATTGGGTTCGGCTCATCTCGAACAGTTGGTACCCGAGACACTTTGTATCCACACATATAAGAGATTACAGTAATACGTGTATTTTATTATTATTAAATATATTCCTTCGTAACTACTATTCAACAAGGAAATCATTCTATCCATTCATTTTCAATAAAAGATTACAATTTTTAGTAATGGCAGAACATATATTTTCTTGCATACAAATTTTAATATAATGTTAAAGATGCGATAAAAATGGTAATTGTAATTGACACGCTGCTAAAATTATCACATAAACGGTCAGGAAAATTCGAGATTCACACACCTGTAACAAAATCTCATAACAAGACCGTCGCTGTTTGACGGATTGCTTAACTTTTCTTTGCGAATAGATTTTATGAATTTGACGTAGAAACGGAATGTATTAAATTCGCTCCCTACTATGAAGATTTTTCTTTTTTGTATCGGATATTAACCAGCGCGCATCACAAGATAAATATATTAAATTTTATTAGATTTTATACTTAATAAATTTTATAATAAGTCAAGAGTTATAAAAACAAATACGATTCAATTACTGCTAATGTTTAATTAATTTCATTTATAAGTATTTTCTAGAAACTATACATTTAATAAAATTATGTGTTCTTATACGTATTTTCGACGTTTTCGTATAATCCCACTTTATTATATTATATAATGTAATTTTTTAATTATGTTCTCTCTTAATATGATTTTTCATGTATTTTGAACAGCATTTATATTGTATATATTATCTATGATTGTAAATATTATTATTATTATATATTGTCACTGTTATTGTAATATACACATAATTATTGTACATATTATAATTATTATATTATTAAATTGAATAAAGAATTATATCCAAAAATAGCATTAAATATTATATTTAAAATGTATATAAAAAATAAAAAAAAATAAAAAATATATATAAAAATATAAAACAACAAATATACTTATAAGTAAAAACAGGCTGTTGTTACATTTACGATGGTCCGTTTTTTACGAGTAAGTATAATTTATAAAGAAAAGAGGACCGCCGATAAAATCGACGGGGGTGGTGGAGGGCCTCTCTAGCTCGTTTTTGCTAAATAAAACCTTAAACTGTCACACAATATATGATTGGAAAAGTTTTAAATGTATTCAAGATCTCTATGTACTAATTACTAATAACTATACATATATTTAGTAAGAACGGGCTAAGTTAACATAAAAAAAACAACTTCCTAATTATTCAACTTCCATTTTTATACAGACACGTATTAACAGACAAAATTCGTGAAATTAATTTGTTTGAATATTTGATTTCAAGTTTCTTAAAAGTCAGCAATTTTGATTACTCTATTAGAAGATATACAAAATTCAAAAATTTATTTTTGAGAACTCATTAATAAACTTTGTATTAGTATTTCTCTGATTTCTCATACATATACGTTTCTTTTCAAGAATAGATAATCTGAGAATCATTCTGTTCTGCAGCCATTGAAAAGCATTGTCGACCGATAAAATATCAGCCCCGTAAAGCATTAAGGTACGATTATCAAAAAGTCAATAGTTCACGAGTTATTAAACATTTTATGTCAATATGTACCAAAAGAGTATGTAAAATATCTCGTAAACTATTGGTTTTTTTATATCTCTACCTTGATACTTTTATGTACAGAATAATTAGAGGAATCATATATAGTGAAAAAATTCATATAATTCCATTTAAAAAAATGAGGTCGACCTCGAAATCTCCGAAGCGCCTCCACCTAGAAAAATTATGACTAGCATATGTTATAGTTCTCTTGATGCCCTACAACTTTTGTAGTAACAATATTTTCATATCTCTGAAAATAGCGGAGATATTTAAGGTGGCAAAGTTATTGCCCCACGATCGGTATATACATATACCGTATACGACACGCGCCGAACGGCGGAAATCGCTGAGAAAACATTTTTTGTCGCTCGAAACAAGCGACCGAGCGAGAAGGACGGGACGTTCGTGACGTAGCGTCTCGCTGTCTCTGTTCTCTCTCGATGCGTCAAAGGTTGCCGAACGAGAAAAGAACGGACGTATCGAGCTGTCGCGCTCACTCATACTGAGCAAATCTTCTTTATCCAGATTTAACACGGACCCGAACCACGTCCACTTTCGACGATACGATTTTATCGGCGAGACGGCGGTTCACGAAAATGGACGTGGTACGTAGTTCCCGCAAACGTTGGTGCCGCTAGTGTACGGGGAGTTAGAAACATTACAAGAAAAAGGGTCGAACTGTCGAGTATCGATGTGTGACGTATCAGTTATCACTTTGCAATATTTACCTTACCTTTCAACTCTGAAATAGTAATATTATTAAATGTGAAAATGATTAAATTAATGCAGGATATTAATTTGGAGAATTATACGCTCATCCTGCCGTCGGTAGCGGTCGGAAACGTTGGACAATTGTCTGTCGACTTACTCATTTCGAATCTTAACCTTCCAAAAATCGGTCAAATTTTTAGCGCGTCATTTATACCTGTCGTTGGCTCAAACGCCTATAATGAGCATTCGAATGAGCTTATCACGGCGATTGACATTTACGCGGGGACCAAGGAACGTATTGTCGTTATACAAATCCGATCGCCGTATGTCGGCGAGCTTTTAGAATTTTTCAACGAACTGACACAATTTGTTATCAAGAGAAAAATAGCTAAAGTAATATATATATTCTAATTTATACTCGTTTAATATCATAATTTTTTTTTAATAAAACGTTTTTTCACAGGTAATAATTCTTGCAAGCAGTCATGATTACGCAAAAAGAGAAGTTCAACCACAGCATCTTAAGTTGAGATATGTTGCCTCTCCTAGTATACAGTCTCAAACTGGGAAACTTTTTAATGACCTCAACTGGATTCCACATAAACCAAAAGACACGATGGGAGAGGAACGATTGCAGATACCAGGGGGTGGATTTGCTAAGAGCATCTTCAACTTTTTATCTGACGCTGACATTCCTTGTGCTATCTTGTTCAAATTCTGTTCTGAAGGGGATAATATAGAAGACGCAATAGCTCTGGTGTGCTATTTAAATCAATGGAAATGTGTATTAGGAGCAAGCAGTAGTAATTTGAAATATCCACCATCTTGGAAATACTTATTTGGGAAGCCACCGTCACAGGATATGTATTGATTGTATCAAAATCAATTCAATATTTTTTGTATTATTCTGTTAATCTTAAAATAATATTTTTGCTATGGTTATATAAGCGTATGTTTGAATGTATTATAATAACATATGATCTAGAACATTTTTCATGTAATTTATAAGAAAAGGATTATAGTATTTATACCAAAAAACTAACTGTATAGTTAAAAAAATCCTTATGATTTAGATATAAATACAGTAAATTGTAATAAAAGCTTATGGCTGTATTTTAGTTGACATTCGCAAGAATTTTTAAATTATTCCATCTTTGTTTATCAAATATCAAGGAAGGATTATGTAAGCCTTGTAATCAAGTAGAATGTATCCTATATATAAATTGAAATATGTACTTCAATTTCTTTATGGTGAATAGAGAAATATACAAATAATTTTATTTTATTAAGTTTTATTTCTAAGGAGATAAATAATATACTTATTCAAATACTTTATTTAAATGTTTATTTTTTAATAACAAAATATTCTACGCTAGAAGTTTGTATTTTGCCGAAAATGCCGAATAGGATACAAGAATAGCTAAGAAGGCGGCTAAAAATTCAGAATTTACCCAAGGACCAAGGAAAATTCCTGGATTATTTAGAACAACTACTGCCAAAGGATTCACGCTATTAGGATCTTCTCCATTCCTAATTGCTTTACGAACAGCCACATACTTTTCCTCGTCATATAGTTTTATGTAATAATCACCAGACCTTGCTTTCTTGATATCTTCTGTCCAGGATATCTATAGCACAGACAAAATAGTTTCATAAATATTACATTATCATTCATAACTTTTATATTGATGAAAATATTATGTTAGCATTTATAACTTTTTAAAGATACTAGGTAACTAGGTGAAGTTAGATGGTTTTAAATTAAATTTTCAATTAATAATTTAAAATTAAAATAAGTAAATTGTTAAATGTCTCTAATTATGTCATTATTTTTTTTCTGATTGTCATGCGTTTAATTTATAATCTTTGTTTAATTAAGATTTATCTTAATTTGATTTATTTATGTTAAGATGAGTAACATGGAAAGAGTATGGTGCGTGTATCTATTACCTGATATTTATTGTCGGCACTCAGTCTGACTGCTGGCAACGTCTTGCCCTCGACTTCAGCATATAAACTAATTCCCTTTACGCCGTTGTTGCATTTCAATACGAACTGCATGGTAAAAGCGACATTCGTGAGGACTGTCGCGTCTTCTGTCACATATGACGATGCGACGATCTCAGGTTTTTGACAGGTCTCGGCGAAAGCCACAGAAATTAAACTCGTTAACGCGCACAAGAAAAAAACCTTATTCATCTTGTAAATTTTGATGTTTTTTTTTCCAATAATTTTGACAACTGTGAACTGTCCACGATAAATATTGGTTGGAATATGCGCCTTCCACCAGTTCCAACGTGCGCCAACAATTCCAACCGGTCACCTATATCTACCTAAACATGCCACGTCGATACACGCAATACACAACGCAATAGGTCTGTTCATCTTTATATCTACACTATTTGTGCACTGGTGCAGAGTGGTGCAATAAGTTGAAGCAGGTTAAATTAAAATAAACATATATTTATAAGATGTTACAAATATACTTTACAAATATATACTTTAACTAACGATAAGAGCGACTTTCACCAAACTCCTGTTAACTTAATTAGGGCCACTTTCACCAATTCCAATTAACTTAATCGGCCGATTAGTCCATTGGAATTGATCAATCGCTTCTGTTGTCAAAACTAAATGATAAATGCAATTGGTCAATCTTGCCAAATTACTGGAATGATTAATTTAACTAGAGTTTGGTGAAAGTGTCGTCCTTGCAAAAATTAGCAAATTACTTAATTTACATTGCTAATAAATAATAGTTTAATATGACGAGTTTATGCTTTTCAGTCTAATTCAATTGCATATTATTTGATTGCATGGAAGAGTATTAACATGAAAAAGTTATTTTTTTTTATACCTTATATGTTACCTTATATGTTAAGTATTATAGTATTACAGACATTAAAATACAAAAACACAATACGAAATTAAGCAAATAAAACATAATTATAATGACAAATAAAATACTCAGACTTTTGTAATCAATTTCTTGAATATAATCAATTAGCCTCTAACATATTTTGACTGATTTCAGTTAGATCTATCGTGTCTATTATTTCATTATTGGGGAACCTCGATTTGATCACCGTTGAAGTTTAAAAGTATACACTCTGATGTACTTGCAATACTTTCGTTAGATGTATTTACTGAAAAAAATTAATAATTTAGTAATGTATAATAAACAATTGTTACAAAGTTTTAATTAAAAATACATTATTAAAAACAACATTATATAAATATAGAACAATCAATGTGCATTTGTATAAAATTTATTACTTACTAGCTCACTGTCACTATCCAATATTATTTGCAAAATTTCTGTTTTTCTTGTAGCCTCTTTAAGGCTTTCTCTGTTTCTTTCAATTTTTCTTCTAACATGGTCTTCTCATTCACATGGCTTTTCAATTTTTCTTCTAACATGGTTTTCTCATTCACATGGCTTTTCAATGTTTCTTCTAACATAGTCTTCTCATTCACATGGCTTTTCAATTTTTCTTCTAACATAGTTTTCTCATCATTAATCGGGCCTAAATGTCCTTTCCACATATCTAATGCTTCTTGCCATTTCTGATTTTCCTCGTTTATTCTTGCTTTAAACTGCAGCCTTTTATTCTCCAACTTTTGTAATAACTGAGAACAAATATTATTCAGATGTTCTTGATAATTACATGCCTTTTTTATGTTTTCTTCTAATGCTGTAATTTGTTTTAATAGATTCTCTTTATCATCTTTAGCCATAGCTTGTTGAGACAACATATCTTCAAATTGCTGAAAAAACTTGACTTGCTCTTTCTGATTTATTTCAAGCATATTTTTTAGTTCTTTTCTTTGACATTCTTGATTTTCGACAAATGTTCTCTGCTTGACAAATACAGTGTCGAGTATCTTCTCATCTATACGTGCTTTCTTAACACAATGTTTTTTCTCCACAAGCATAAATACATATATAAATGTTTCATTAGGACTAAATTGTATAATATCACCAGAACAAACATTTTGTACTTCACCAAAGCCAATGGCATTACCATTAACAAATGTTCCACCAGAGCTTAAATCCTTCAGCATCCATTTATCTTGGCCTATACATCTAAAAATGCAATGTCTTCTAGATATCATTATATTTAATATAATTTTATCGTTATCAGTGGCACGTCCAATCTTAAACTGTATAAAAGGAAAAAATAATATACCTTACACATTAAAAAAATTTGGTAATAAGCCTTCAAACGACATTATAAAGTATCCTTAATATGCGCATTAAATACATGATTTATTAATACACATTTATTAGATACATAGAATTTTTCGAATGTGCTGACATATTCCTTACCTCATTTTTGTCGATATTTATGCTTTCGTTCTCGTTAATATTTACTAAAACAGGTTCAAGAACTTTTGGCTTCTCATCAGAGGCTCTCTTTAAATGCTCCATAATTTATTGGTTTCACAAATATCTTAATTATGTCTCAAACATTATAATCAATACTAAGAACGATGTAACAAAATTCGCGTTGCATTCGCTTTTTCCTGTAATAGGCGAGAATTAAGAGATGTCGATTCAAACGCTATCACGTAACTTTGTAGCTTTTTTTTTACAGGATGTAATCTTAACAATTCTTGCTGGCGAAATTTCTCGAATTTAATTTTATCAAGAAAGAACGATCCGTTGTAACGAACAACAATTCATTCGAACACGGTAAAAGCAACTGCATGAACGATTAGTGGAATTGACCAATCGCATTTATTATTTAGTTTTGACGACAGACGCGATTGGTCAATTCCAATGGACTAATCGTCGATTAAGTTAATCGGCGTTGGCAAAAACCAGCGTTTTCGAATAGAGCGGGTTTGAAGGTTTGAACCCGATCCGGGTCGGATCTTTGACGTCACATGCTTTATTTCGATAAAATAGTAATCATAACCTCAAATTAGAAAATGTACAATGATACACATACACTATTTACGTGAGAATTTTTGAATGACAATACAATAAGTTTTAGTGTGATTATCTATTTATTTAGATTTATTTCTATCGAATCTATTTTTGTATTCGCGCGACTATGACGTTCGATAATGAAAATGAAGGGAAAAAAGATGAAAATGTTAGCCAAAGCCAAGAAGTAAACTCGAATAATGAAGATCTATGGGGATTTGATATGTATCCAGAAAGAAGAGGAGGAAAAATTCAGCGTAGTTGGTTTAAGACATTAATGGGAGCTCAAGGACGTGAATCAACGGATAAAAATCGATGCGAACGCAATGTTTATACGTGTATAAAAGAAAGTAAGATATCTTTTAGTTATACAAGAAGAAAAATAGAAAACAAAGTGTGATTCACAAACTTACCTTTGATACCTCACACACATAAATATGATTTATATATTAATTAAATTTATTCTCCATTATATATAAGTAGAGCATTTATTATTTTATTTTTTACTTTATGTAATTAAATCTAATATTATCTTTTTTAACATTTAAATGTAATTTCTAGGTCCTATAGTAAAACTCATGATGGGCGCATTGAGAAGTTCTGGATGGTTTGTAATTCGTTTCCTTATGTTATATATATATATATATATATATATATATATAATAATTGCTTTACGAACAGCCACATACTTTTCCTCGTCATATAGTTTTATGTAATAATCACCAGACCTTGCTTTCTTGATATCTTCTGTCCAGGATATCTATAGCACAGACAAAATAGTTTCATAAATATTACATTATCATTCATAACTTTTATATTGATGAAAATATTATGTTAGCATTTATAACTTTTTAAAGATACTAGGTAACTAGGTGAAGTTAGATGGTTTTAAATTAAATTTTCAATTAATAATTTAAAATTAAAATAAGTAAATTGTTAAATGTCTCTAATTATGTCATTATTTTTTTTCTGATTGTCATGCGTTTAATTTATAATCTTTGTTTAATTAAGATTTATCTTAATTTGATTTATTTATGTTAAGATGAGTAACATGGAAAGAGTATGGTGCGTGTATCTATTACCTGATATTTATTGTCGGCACTCAGTCTGACTGCTGGCAACGTCTTGCCCTCGACTTCAGCATATAAACTAATTCCCTTTACGCCGTTGTTGCATTTCAATACGAACTGCATGGTAAAAGCGACATTCGTGAGGACTGTCGCGTCTTCTGTCACATATGACGATGCGACGATCTCAGGTTTTTGACAGGTCTCGGCGAAAGCCACAGAAATTAAACTCGTTAACGCGCACAAGAAAAAAACCTTATTCATCTTGTAAATTTTGATGTTTTTTTTTCCAATAATTTTGACAACTGTGAACTGTCCACGATAAATATTGGTTGGAATATGCGCCTTCCACCAGTTCCAACGTGCGCCAACAATTCCAACCGGTCACCTATATCTACCTAAACATGCCACGTCGATACACGCAATACACAACGCAATAGGTCTGTTCATCTTTATATCTACACTATTTGTGCACTGGTGCAGAGTGGTGCAATAAGTTGAAGCAGGTTAAATTAAAATAAACATATATTTATAAGATGTTACAAATATACTTTACAAATATATACTTTAACTAACGATAAGAGCGACTTTCACCAAACTCCTGTTAACTTAATTAGGGCCACTTTCACCAATTCCAATTAACTTAATCGGCCGATTAGTCCATTGGAATTGATCAATCGCTTCTGTTGTCAAAACTAAATGATAAATGCAATTGGTCAATCTTGCCAAATTACTGGAATGATTAATTTAACTAGAGTTTGGTGAAAGTGTCGTCCTTGCAAAAATTAGCAAATTACTTAATTTACATTGCTAATAAATAATAGTTTAATATGACGAGTTTATGCTTTTCAGTCTAATTCAATTGCATATTATTTGATTGCATGGAAGAGTATTAACATGAAAAAGTTATTTTTTTTTATACCTTATATGTTACCTTATATGTTAAGTATTATAGTATTACAGACATTAAAATACAAAAACACAATACGAAATTAAGCAAATAAAACATAATTATAATGACAAATAAAATACTCAGACTTTTGTAATCAATTTCTTGAATATAATCAATTAGCCTCTAACATATTTTGACTGATTTCAGTTAGATCTATCGTGTCTATTATTTCATTATTGGGGAACCTCGATTTGATCACCGTTGAAGTTTAAAAGTATACACTCTGATGTACTTGCAATACTTTCGTTAGATGTATTTACTGAAAAAAATTAATAATTTAGTAATGTATAATAAACAATTGTTACAAAGTTTTAATTAAAAATACACTATTAAAAACAACATTATATAAATATAGAACAATCAATGTGCATTTGTATAAAATTTATTACTTACTAGCTCACTGTCACTATCCAATATTATTTGCAAAATTTCTGTTTTTCTTGTAGCCTCTTTAAGGCTTTCTCTGTTTCTTTCAATTTTTCTTCTAACATGGTCTTCTCATTCACATGGCTTTTCAATTTTTCTTCTAACATGGTTTTCTCATTCACATGGCTTTTCAATGTTTCTTCTAACATAGTCTTCTCATTCACATGGCTTTTCAATTTTTCTTCTAACATAGTTTTCTCATCATTAATCGGGCCTAAATGTCCTTTCCACATATCTAATGCTTCTTGCCATTTCTGATTTTCCTCGTTTATTCTTGCTTTAAACTGCAGCCTTTTATTCTCCAACTTTTGTAATAACTGAGAACAAATATTATTCAGATGTTCTTGATAATTACATGCCTTTTTTATGTTTTCTTCTAATGCTGTAATTTGTTTTAATAGATTCTCTTTATCATCTTTAGCCATAGCTTGTTGAGACAACATATCTTCAAATTGCTGAAAAAACTTGACTTGCTCTTTCTGATTTATTTCAAGCATATTTTTTAGTTCTTTTCTTTGACATTCTTGATTTTCGACAAATGTTCTCTGCTTGACAAATACAGTGTCGAGTATCTTCTCATCTATACGTGCTTTCTTAACACAATGTTTTTTCTCCACAAGCATAAATACATATATAAATGTTTCATTAGGACTAAATTGTATAATATCACCAGAACAAACATTTTGTACTTCACCAAAGCCAATGGCATTACCATTAACAAATGTTCCACCAGAGCTTAAATCCTTCAGCATCCATTTATCTTGGCCTATACATCTAAAAATGCAATGTCTTCTAGATATCATTATATTTAATATAATTTTATCGTTATCAGTGGCACGTCCAATCTTAAACTGTATAAAAGGAAAAAATAATATACCTTACACATTAAAAAAATTTGGTAATAAGCCTTCAAACGACATTATAAAGTATCCTTAATATGCGCATTAAATACATGATTTATTAATACACATTTATTAGATACATAGAATTTTTCGAATGTGCTGACATATTCCTTACCTCATTTTTGTCGATATTTATGCTTTCGTTCTCGTTAATATTTACTAAAACAGGTTCAAGAACTTTTGGCTTCTCATCAGAGGCTCTCTTTAAATGCTCCATAATTTATTGGTTTCACAAATATCTTAATTATGTCTCAAACATTATAATCAATACTAAGAACGATGTAACAAAATTCGCGTTGCATTCGCTTTTTCCTGTAATAGGCGAGAATTAAGAGATGTCGATTCAAACGCTATCACGTAACTTTGTAGCTTTTTTTTTACAGGATGTAATCTTAACAATTCTTGCTGGCGAAATTTCTCGAATTTAATTTTATCAAGAAAGAACGATCCGTTGTAACGAACAACAATTCATTCGAACACGGTAAAAGCAACTGCATGAACGATTAGTGGAATTGACCAATCGCATTTATTATTTAGTTTTGACGACAGACGCGATTGGTCAATTCCAATGGACTAATCGTCGATTAAGTTAATCGGCGTTGGCAAAAACCAGCGTTTTCGAATAGAGCGGGTTTGAAGGTTTGAACCCGATCCGGGTCGGATCTTTGACGTCACATGCTTTATTTCGATAAAATAGTAATCATAACCTCAAATTAGAAAATGTACAATGATACACATACACTATTTACGTGAGAATTTTTGAATGACAATACAATAAGTTTTAGTGTGATTATCTATTTATTTAGATTTATTTCTATCGAATCTATTTTTGTATTCGCGCGACTATGACGTTCGATAATGAAAATGAAGGGAAAAAAGATGAAAATGTTAGCCAAAGCCAAGAAGTAAACTCGAATAATGAAGATCTATGGGGATTTGATATGTATCCAGAAAGAAGAGGAGGAAAAATTCAGCGTAGTTGGTTTAAGACATTAATGGGAGCTCAAGGACGTGAATCAACGGATAAAAATCGATGCGAACGCAATGTTTATACGTGTATAAAAGAAAGTAAGATATCTTTTAGTTATACAAGAAGAAAAATAGAAAACAAAGTGTGATTCACAAACTTACCTTTGATACCTCACACACATAAATATGATTTATATATTAATTAAATTTATTCTCCATTATATATAAGTAGAGCATTTATTATTTTATTTTTTACTTTATGTAATTAAATCTAATATTATCTTTTTTAACATTTAAATGTAATTTCTAGGTCCTATAGTAAAACTCATGATGGGCGCATTGAGAAACACATTTCTTGCGAAGTGTGTAATCCAATTGTAACTGGTGGATATGATTCAGAATTTAATCAGGTAAATATTTTTTCAAATTGCTTGACTAAATTTACTTGGGCTGCTAAATGTTTTGCTAATGAAATATTTTGTATTATATTTCTATAAAAATAAGATTCTTTTAATTTATTATCTATGATTATGCATGATATGAACAAAATTTTCTTTATAGATAGTTATTTGTCAAAATTCGGCGTATAGTGAAAACATGGTTCGAGCAGTTCTTCTACATGAAATGATTCATATGTTTGACTACTGCCGTAATAAGTTAGATATGAAAAATATTGATCATCTAGCCTGTACAGAAATTAGAGCAGCAAATCTTGCACACTGTAGTTTTATGAGTTCTTTGTTTCAAGGCGATTCATCTTTTATTAATATAAAAGCAACACATCAGGTAAATTATTAGCACATTTTAAGAGATTGATTCAAGGGATTATATATGTATTTCACTCTCTCTTTTTTCTAGAATATATTTATTCTTGTATGAGCATTATTTTTAATTTATAATCTTATAATGCTTTTATATAGGATTGTGTAAAACACAAAGCACGACTGTCAATAATGGGTGTGCACAAAGTATCAAAAGAAGTCGCAGACGCAGCTATAGAAAGAGTGTTTAAAAAGTGTTATAATGATTTAGAACCAATTGGCAGAAGAATTCGTAGAAATTCATTTGATATGCCGAGAGCACATGCAGAAGCACATTTATATGGATATGACATGTAAATGTTTAAAAAATTGTATGAAAAAATTATACAGTAGTATAAATGCAATAATAAATATACATTTTGTTTGATTATATTTACTAGTATTTATTAAAATTAACATTATATGATACATGTATCTTTTTATCCACATTTAATTGTAGTTTTTTTTATAGCAGAAGTATAGAAAAGTTACTTTAATAATCACATATATATTTATATATAAAATCTTATTCTCCAGACTATTAGGTATACTAATTCTATTAATAGTTAAGTAAAAGATAATTGATGGAAATTTAGTATGATATATAGACTTTATTAGATTGAACATTTAACAGTTATTAATTATTTTTTATATAAAAAGTTTTAAAATTGTATTTAATATAGAAATTAGTAAAAAAATTAAGATTTTTTAATTTATATTACATATATTAGTTGAAACAAGAATTGATTGTAGAAATATTTCTATTTATTAATATATATAAATCTGGTAGTGCTTTAAAAAAAAGGATTATTAATATTGTTTTTAATTTTATTGTAATTACATTTTTTTCTCAATTATATGAATTACATAGCTCAATTGCAAATTAATTTTACATTATAATATTTATAATATTGTATTCTTAGCGGTAATTGTCTATATTAATTATTTAGAGTTTTAAATTAATTATGTGATAATTTCTCAAATACTGAAGCTAAAATAATAGATTTTGGTGCATAAAGTAAGACAAAATAGCATAAATAATACAGTATTATATGTTTATTTTATATTTATTTTGTTTCATTTTGCATAATTTTTATCAAAGCAGTGCTAAAATATTATTTTGTTATGTAATAAAATATATATAGGAGAATTATTTATAATATAGATTAATGTGATCCAATACTTTACGCGACTGCAATAATTATATAATTTGCTGTTGAAATTGGTTTGTGATCTAATAAACGTAAGATAAAGTACCTAATACCTATTATTGTAATATATTGATTATATCACAGATGAAATAAGTAAGTTTCTTAATTATTTATTATTTTTTATATTACTTATTTAAAATTATTTATTTAGGTCTTGAGAAGAAAAGAAAAATTGGATCACATCAACATATATATAATTTGTCTCAAATGGTTGAATAGATACATAGCACTCTCTACGAAATTTTGTGTTAAAAATTTTTTTATTTATTTATATTGATAATAGTAATTAAATTCTATTAATTTTCCTCAGCTATAAGCTATGAAAAATAAAAGTTTCTCATGACTAAAAATTGCATATAAACATTATTATTTATATTTTTCAAATAAAAATACAATTTAGTAAAATTTTGACTTTAATGTTTAAATATCAATTCAATATATGGATTGATATTGAAATATTAAGGTTAAAATTGCAAAAAATTATCTGTTCGTCTTTTTCAATAAGGAAGAATTAAATTTTACGAACGATGTTATATGCAAATTTTTGTTAATTTTAAAACATTAAATACGTTATCGGTATTATATTAAGAAATATGTAGTGAACATTTGTCTTCTATGTGAGTTATCATACTTTCATGATACATCTTTGCTAATTTTCAATATCTTTAAAAATATTGTTACATGCTCTATATGCGATGTTGGGTTTTGTAGTCTTTTGATTTAACAGAAATTGAACAACCCTAGAACCCGACATTAAAGCTAATAGCCTCGATTGAAATTTCCACCGTCGAAGCGAGGATTTCCATCATAAGAAACCTGTGCGCTAAAACCGTGTTGCCAATCCGCGGTGTATCGCACAAGTTGCGTTCTACCGTCCGGAAGTTGTACCTTATATTCACCACGGACAACTTCGCCGTCGCTAATGGCATTGTGTGAATAATCGTTGCCGAAAGCATCCTCTTTCACGGCGTAGTTGAAATCAAAGGGCATACCAGGTTCGTGATGATGATGATCATGCTGTAATACATTCACTAATTAAGAAATTAAATACGTGTGCAACATCGATTTATATTTATAATTTTATACGTACAAACCTCAATTATATCATTTTATTCAAATAAAAATATAAAATATGATTAATAATTTGAATAAAGACATATTTATTTTTCGTTTGAAAAATTATGTCAGGTAAATATCTAATTTGTCTTATATATTTTTTTTAATAGCACTAAGTAAATATTTATTTACAATAAACAAATATTAAATAAACAAATATTAATAAAAAATGATAGTTAAATTAATTATTTTTGTTGTATTAATATATATTCATATTTAATAAATATTTACTTAGAACTATTCAAACAAATATTTATTAAAATGTCATATTGTTTTCAATGTGTATGAAAATTAGATTTTGATTTTTGCTTCACAATTAAATCGATCGATTCACAATTAAATAAATCAACGGTTTTGTTTAAACTGTTTATCCAAAATTGAATTTAAACTTCAAACTGTTTGAATATAGATCCTTTTTAGCTACAGTTTCTGAATCGCAAATTTTTTATAAGCAAAGAAAAGTATCCATTTGTTTTATATTTCTTTAAAATCACTTAAATGTTAAAGATTTTTTGTTTAGTACGATATATACTTACACCAGGACCACCGATAACGCTACTCTCATCACCGCTTTGTTGGCCGGTATATTCCGGGAAAGGAGGTGTGGGTCTTACTCTGGGATATCCTGTGGGCGCCGTCGGAAAAGTTCCTGGAGTTCTGCTAGGCTGTGGGTAGGTGGGCGTCGGTCTGGGGAAGGTCGGCCTGGGTGAGGGGAAGGATGGCGTTGGTCTAGGTGCAGGGTAGGACGGTGTTGGTCTAGGTGCAGGGTAGGACGGCGTCGGCCTGGGTGCAGGAAAGGATGGCGTTGGTCTAGGTCCAGGGAAGCTCGGAGTGGGAAACGGCACCGTCGGCGTGGGTTTTGGAAATGGTACCGATGGCTTGCTGTACGAGTAACCTTTCGTCGGCTCTGGCGGCAGGTAAGTGTTGCGCCGTGTGCCCGGTGGCAGATCACCAATAACGCTGGCTACCGTCACGCAGAGCACGATTAGCTGTGCAGGAGAAATCAGATCGTTAAAAAGATATATCCTCTCGAAACGTATTTTACGGAAGAAGTCAAACGATGGAATAAAATAAAATAAAAATTGATGTTTTATAATACTTTTTAAAAAAATCGAAGTAAGGATTATATTCGGGTAGTTAAATTTGTTGAGATTTTGAAAAGATCTGCACGACAAATTTTGTCGATAGAATGCAACAAAAATATAACAGTATAATACTATTGTATAATAGAATATAATGACAGATTCTGTTGAAACTGAGCAGAATCTCTACGTTTTGTAATGATATGTTTAATTACGAAATGATCGATTCTATTCAGTTCGAATAACTGCTGTTAGATTATGTCAGCAGACTCTGCCAACAAAATACGAGTTTAATGCGGATATGGATGATCTCTTGCAACATCTGAACAAATCTGTTGCTAATCTATAATTGTCGTTATGCAGGCAGTTTGCTCACTAAGATACGCAGGCCAACATTTGGTTGAAGAGTAGAGATTGAAATTAACCTCTATTTGCTCCGAGTACATCAGTTAATACCATGCTTTGAATGTGAGGGACATTTGTGCTGTCAGCTCGTAATATTGATACGCTTACTTATAATGTATTCTTATTTAAATTATATAACATAGCTTAATAAAAAATGCCTTTTTTTTTAAACATCAGAACGAGAACATTTTTTATAGTTTTTTTGGATACTGAATACAAATACAAATCCCGTTTCCAAATTGCTATATTACGTTAAAATTTTAAAAAATTTCAACTGTAATGCAAAAAAGAGTTATTTTCTTTGTACTTTTCTTTGTACATATAATTACATATGATGTAATATGTATGTACGTATATATCTTATTGTTAGATAAGCTTATTGCAATCAAAGTATGTTATTCGGACTTTTAGCCCTCAAAGAATTTTTGGTGTCTGTGTAATTAATAAGATACTTATAGTTGAATATGTAGAAAATTTGTATGTGTGTGTGAATTTTAGATAATTGATAATTTATCATAAATAGTTATCAATTATGTTTATTTAAATTTAAAGATTTTTTTAGATCGCTGACTATGAACTCAATGTCAAAATTTGATAAATTTAAAATCACGAGAAAAAACCTTTAAATTTAAGTATAAAGTAACTCCAGTATTTATGTCGCAGAAGTTAGAAAAAATAGAAGCAGTGGGGATAATGTGCATGCAATCATTCTATTACATGCCTTTATATGTTATATTAATATTGGGTTATGAGTTTAGTTTTGTGTTGTTACTACTGTTAATATTAATAAAATTACTGTCAGTTGAATCGATTTGTCAATGTAGTGAATAGCGCAATCATAATTTACATAAAATCATTATTGTAGAAAAATTGTAAAAAACCTAATGGTTATTTGGTGATACATAAGTGTAAAGGAATAGTAAAGAATGGAGTATAGCAAAATACAAGTGCTTAACTTTTATATTCTTTATTTAATGTCATGTATATCCCATCTGTTTGGGATATATTGCATTTTTAGCGAAAGAGATTTATACCTACAGCACACAAAGTACGCAGACCGGATTCAGTGCACTAAATGCAATAAATGCATTACATGAAATATGTATCTTATATCATAATGGAGTTATTCTAATTAAAAGTTCTTTAGTAAATCGTTAATGATTTAATTCACAGCTTTTTCGTAATATTTAACTATAAGTATCTTATCAACTTAGCCGACGTAATACATTTTTTTTGATCGTTCAAAGTCCTAACAGCATAATTAATTTTGATTGCAATAAAAAAATTTTCTAGCAGATCACATACTGAATTATAATATGACAATGTACATGAAAATAACTTCTTTTACTAGTAACTGCAAGTTTCTCTCAAAATTGTGACGTGATAAAGTAATTTAAAAATCGGATTTGTATTCAGCATAAAAAAATTTTGGGAAGTGACTAGGCTTGTTCTAATGTTTTATTGTTGAACTGTGTAAAAGAATAACGTTGATGAAAAAGTTAATTCTATGAGTATTTAATTTCAAATCGGAATAAGTATGTGTCATGTCCGCATCTATCAATATGGATTAACTTTAATCTCGGTTTAATATATTATTTTTTATCGTCTTTTAATTCATAGAACTAGAAGAAAATGAAAATTAAACCAAGATAAAAGTTAAATCTGCATTATAAAAATGATTATCGCTAAAGAATTGTTAGAAAACGTTTAAACATATATGATTAAAAAAAAAGTTGCACCTTGTAAAGTTTGTATAATATGCATATTGCAATTATACACTGATGAGAAAAATTATATGTAATGAGAGAAGAATGGCGATTATAAACTGAGTATTATTGTATCGTCTCTTCTGTGAGATCTTAGATCTTAAACGAATGGCTATAGTCTTCGTTAACCGTTGAAGCCATAGAAGCAGGGATACGTATAGAAATCTCTCTTATGCTGCTGTACATTATGATGTGTAGTTTTTATTAAGTTTGAAGGACTTTGGGATAACTTTTACCATACTACGTACGAGAGAAAGTATCTATGAATTCTTCGTGCATCCATATATAAATATTTCGCGAAAATGAAACTAACAAAACGACCAGAACTTTTTGTGAGATTAGAAGAACAATAATATCGCTGACTTAACGCCGAGACATTACTGTGTCTCCAGATTATTTTTTGATTGAAAAATAAATACTTCTACTATGTAAAATAATTTGACATAAAAGATTTTTAATTTTGATGAAAATTAAGATACATTAAATGAATCTGTTTTTCATAAATAATAACAATAACACACATAATTAGAATAAGCACTGTGATCTAGCTTTGACCGTTATATGCTGTCTTCTTCTTGTTTGTGTTTATCACATGTACGATGTCGTAAAAAGATTTCAATATTTAATAACAATAATTATTATCGTTTCGTTTTAATTTTATTTTATAATTTTAATTGAGAAATTAATTTTTAATTATTACGTCAGAAGAAGATTCGAAATTGTTAGAAAGAAATTTAAGAAGACATAAATAGAAATAAATTTAAAAAATTGTGAGTCCAATTATAAAAATTAAAAATTTATAATCTTGTATGATAAATTCTTTCTTTTTCTCTCTCAATTATTTTTAAAATTTATTATCGTGTTGTTATGTATTACATTACTACATTGACGAAAAATATTATCAAACCTTATAAAAGACTGATTTATCTTTAAATAAGAGGTCTTATATTTTTAGGGTAATGAAACCGAAATAAATGTAATATTACGCCGTAATGCATAATAAAGCGTTAGAAATGTGACTATTAGTTATCTCACAAAGTTGAAGACGTTGCAAGTTTACCATGGTAATGCGTTATTTCGCATTTGCGATACGAATGCGCAACGAAGACGTGTTTTTATAACCGGAACATATGTCAGCAGTCGACATTTCGAGAAATCGTCTAGGTCTATATAATGAGAACATAATAAGCTGTGAGGATGTCGTAAACAGATGTAGACATGGTGCTGTAAGCATAAATGCGTATTGACATTCGATGTATATGCTCCACTTTTACTTTTGCATTTCTAATTATCGTATATATTATTGTAGAGTTTTGGTCATTTTTTAATCTATTTTCATCACGATATACACATACTATATATAATTTTTTTAGTTTATCGTTTTATGATATACATAACATAAAGTGTTATATATTTTCATATTTTATCATATAGAAAAACATTTTTATTTTTTAAGACAATATTTTAATTATTTTTGATGTTTTTTCATTATTATAATAATTATTATTTTTATTACGTTAAAAAATAATTTTACAAAAGAAAGATGTATAAACATAATATGGATATATTTCATATATGTATATATATATATTATTATATATGTTTATACATGTTTAAGTATGTTTTATACATATTTACGCATGAAAAAATTTTTACCGGACTAATTCCATCATTCCATTTCCATTTCTATACGTGTCTAATATCGTAAGACTTTTGTTTGTATTACATCGACATCTATACGCGCAATAAATGCTCTTCGACTTTCAGATCCGGTGTTGAATATCGTCACAATCGTTCTCGTGTGTAAACTGACATTTGTCGCGTAGCTTATCAGTTACAAGTACGAGCCATACCGCGAGTCATGTTATGAGGTGTGTAATTTTAATAAATCAAGCTTCTCTCTGTTGGTACTAGGTTTGATATTTAGTACGTCAAGATGCCAGGGAGATATTTTTTCCGTAGTACAACATATCCTGCGAGTTATGGCTTTTGATGAAATTGATGGAAATAATTACAGTCTATGACGAAACACGAGTTGGATAAAATAATTCTAATCTATCGTGCATTTATCATCTTCAATGTCAGTTATCATCAATATTATTGCATTATTTGTTACGATAAATTATACAAGTTGAGATATAAACAATATTTTTATGGTGATAATATAATAAACTTTAAAACTGATAATTATTATTAATATAAAATATTGTACAATACATAAATATATTTGATAATTTTCCTATTTTTAAATATTCCGATATCAAAATGTTAATATCAATTAAAGCTATACATCAAATAAATATCGATTAATATTCGCAAATTCTCGTAAGTGCTGAAACACGCGTATATCTCTTTATATAGAATCTCGATTTAATAACTTACCAAGGCGTATAAGGTAAGCTTCCACTACAATGCCTTACTGATGAGTCCAGTAGTGGAAGCCGGGACGAAAATGATATAAAATTAAAAAATATGTTAATAAAATAATAACATCAATTATCAATGCCAGACTCTTGAATAATAATATGATTTACTTCAAATTTATAAAACATTTCTCGTAAAATCACAAAATGTTAATATCAATTAACAATTAATATCAAATAAAGCTATGCAACAAATAAATATCAATTAATAATATAAATATGTTGCATTTTATAATGAATAAGTGTAAATAAGCTAAAAATCATTAAAATATCTGCCTTCAACGGAACTATTCGTATTCGTGAACCACTGAAATATCCATACGGTAGTGAATAGATTCATTTCTAATGTGTGATCACACATCCGTGTGAAATACGAATAGTTCCGTCGAAGGCAGATATTTCAATGATTTTCAGTTTCCACCGAATGATCAATTTGATTCATTGCCCACAGAGGAGAGCAACTATGAACTGGAAGGTGAGAAAAAGACTGTTTTAACCATAAGAGAGACAAGATATTATATGTCAAAATGAAAATATTAATTCACAAATATCTCAATTTTTTCACAGATGAGGATATAACTGTCAAGGATTTCATGGAGAACATTAAATTAACTAAACAAAAAATAAATAAACACTTGAAGTGTTTTTTCGGAGAAAACATAACGAATACCAAGAGCCAAATACGGTCCAACCTGGAGAACTTAAATTTTCGTCGATTAAGATTTACAGTGGCTGTATTGTTTAGTTTCTATTATAATAGTTCACAAAACCATGGACAAAACGCCTTTCGGTGACATATTTGCGTTTGTACGGGGCTGTAAACCTATCTTCTCCATAAGAAAGATGATAGATTTTCCTAACGACGTGATAAAAGGTAAAAGAAAAATTTTTGTCGTGCAATATTGTGTCAAAAAATGGAAATATTATTTCACAAAAATCTCGATCTTTTTTTTATAGAAATTGAGAAAGTTAGTGACGAAGTAATTTTTCTCAATTTCTATAAAAAAAAGATCGAGATTTTTGTGAAATAATATTTCCATTTTTTGACACAATATTGCTCGACAAAAATTTTTCTTTTACCTTTTATCAGGTCGTTAGGAAAGTCTATCATCTTTCTTATGGAGAAGATAGGTTTACAGCCCCGTACAAACGCAAACATGAAAGGCGTTTTGTCAAGGAAATTTTGTCAAAGAAATATATACGATTTTTCGATTCTTTCATCATAATCTAATAATGAGTATTAATATTAATTGTAATATATGAAAATATATTTAATAATTTGATTGTTCGAAAAATTATTAAATTCAAGAGTGTTCTTGTGTTTAACTCGTTCAGTTCGTCATTATAATGACGAAAAAATTATTAAATTCAAGAATATTCTTGTGTTTAACTCGTTGAGTTCGTCTTTATAATACGAGTTAAACACAAGAACACTCTTGAATTTAATAATTTTTCGAACAATCAAATTATTAAATATATTTTCATATATTACAATTAATATTAATACTCATTATTAGATTATGATGAAAGAATCGAAAAATCGTGTATATTTCTTTGACAAAATGCCTTTCATGTTTGCGTTTGTACGGGGCTGTAAACCTATCTTCTCCATAAGAAAGATAATAAACTTTCCTAACGAGATAGTGAGAGCCTGCCTTAGACGCCTGGAGATGTCTTAGAGCGAGGTGCTATATGAATAGATCTTACGTATCTCGACTACATGCGAGAATTGGCGCGAGTCTCTTCCTTTGAGTCTTTTCCTCTTTGGACCTCCGGTGGCGGGTCGCCAAAAGGTAAAAGAAAAATTTTTGTCGTGCAATATTGTGCCGAAAAATGGAAATATTATTTCACAAAAATCTCGGATTTTTTTTTTTATAGGAATTGAGAAAGTGAGTGAAGTCATTTATCTCGCTGAATCGCTCCAGACAATGACGATTTAACTGACGAGTTAAACACAAAATCCAAGAACACTTTTGCATTTAATAATTTTTCAAACAATCAAAATATTAAAGTTTTCATATATTACAATTAATATTAATACTCATTATTAGATTATGATAAAAGAAGCGAAAAATCGTGTATATTTCTTTTCTTTCATCAATATAAATAGCTTTATCAAATAATTTATTGCATTAATCATGATATAAATGATAAATCTAGAAACTGTGAATTTTACTTGTTGAAAAGACATACAATATATTATCCGCATTATTATTGTACAAATAATTATTTACGATTAATTATGTAATTGACTACAATAATTTTTATATCTACATGAATCAAGAGATGAATATAAAGTATAAGCAATGAAAATAATATAACAAGAAAATCAGCAATAATTTGAAGAAATTATAAAGATTACTTAATTTGCACTAATTGCAGTTAGTTAGCAATCATTTAATTATTTTTTAAATGTTATTGTACATTATATATTTTATTACAAATTGCAATATATTTGTGTGATAAATTTCGAAATGAACATAAAATGCAGAAATACAAATATATAAGTTAAATTTTATAAATTTTGTATTAATTTTAGTTATTGCTTTTTATATAACATGTAATAGGATATGATAGGTTTGTGTTAAAGTTATTCACATACATTGCAACTGCGAACATTGCGAATTTTTTCATCAGGTTTTAATTGATAAGATAATGAAAAGAGGTAATGAAAAACGTAGGAATGTGTGCTCGCATAAAGGATCACTCGCTTGCGTGCAGTGTTAAAAGTATGACAGAGGTAAAGAACGGTTAGCAAACGTTTGTGCGCAACGATGAGACCACGATTTCGCATACGATAAACACAACGGGAGTTCTATCGCGAATCTTTTTTCCGGCATAATAACAGACCGCGCGACAATACATGCGATTCGTCGCTGCCATTAGCTCCGGCCGGCGACGTGAAAGAAAATCGATGTGAAAAAGGAGCAGACCGAATCAATAATATACCGGCGGTGTTACGTCAATGTTGTTCGGAGATGCGGCAGGCAATCTGTGCTCTATTGCAACAGTAGAGACCTTTATATTATGCTCTTAACCCTGTACTTCGATTGCAATACACGCCACTAGAAAAGATACGTATTAAATATAAAATATAAACACACATGAGAGAGAAAGGGAGGGAAAGAGAGGGAGAGAGAAAAAGGAAGAAGGAGAATGACGGAGATATAAGAGTATATATAGATAGATTAAGATTGACAGAGAGAGAGAGAGAGAGAGAGAGAGAGGGAGGGAAAGAGAGGGAAGAGAGAAAGAGAGAAAGTGAGTGCATCTGAAGCTTATCCCGCGGTAGTGCAACGCTTCATGAGATGTCGCAACTTCGTTCCAGTAGTCAATCGAAATGTGGAGAAGCGTGAGAAGCTATTCTGGCGGGACTGACAAATGCGATTGCATGTGCCCGTTAGTTCATTAATATCTCATTATAATGTCGATGCATACGTCGTGTGGGCGCGCATCTGACGTTTATATTATGCCCGACGATGATATCACCGACTATTGTTGTAATCGCTTTTCTTCATATTTTAATAAGAAAAAATAATGAGACACACTAATGACGATGGCAGCCGGATTGTGAACTTACGGATAACTTTAATCCCCACAGAGAGAACTGAATTTATCAAAAGGAAGATCTAAATTTTCCACCATGGTTTCTACATGGCAGTACATAATTTATTGTTAGATATTTGGTATTGTTAGTGAAAGTTCAAATGAATTCACATTCTCTCTCTCTCTCTCTCATTTACATGAAATTTGTTCGTCGAATAAGATAATTCTATATCTTGTGACCGTGATTCTTTGTCAGATGATCAACAGTTAGTTAGATCTATCTGCATCAGAAACAGCATGTTAAGCATTTAACGATAGATGCAACGATCATTGATTTGCCGCAGGGATAAGAGATCGTTTGATTAATCAAGCGAGATGTGAATTAACTAGGCGACAGCAGTAAGTGATTTATAACAAAACCGTTCTATCAACGCGCTCATTCTTTGGGTAGCGGAGGGGAAGGATTGAGTGAAGTTTTACAAACGATGTAAAGGTCTCGCGCGGAGTAAAGGAGAACAATTAGCTAATCAATGCACGTATAACAAGACAAGTTCTACGCACCTTCTCTCCGCAAATTTGTCCAGACTTCTTTCTATTCATACTTTTTTACAGAGATAAGGCTGGAGCACGGATCTTTGTATAATGCATAATGTATCAAGCATAAGGAAATCAACCAATCAAAGTCTTTTGTTTCATGGAAAGAAAAGAACTTTGATTGGTTCATTGTCTTATGCATAACGTGGTATGCAAGATTCTTCTAATAAATAATCGGGATTTATAATTGACAATTGAGATTTGAAATCTGAATGTTTCATGCGTATCGAAAACTTATACCATCAGTATAGGATCACTTGTCTTTTCTTCAGACAAGCAAGAAATATCTCGTCATTCTTACGACAATAAATTAACAATTTAATTTTACTGCTGCAAATTACCATAAATTATTTATAATTATCATTAATGACAATGAATGAGAAGTGCAACCGCTATGAACAATAAAGTGGAAAGCGAGGGTTTAAATGTAAAGGTCTTTCTCCAATAATTCGTCTTTTGATTTAATAATCAATTTTACGATGTTTTTATACGATTGTAAAACTCGGACTATGCCATTTTTGAAGTTTATGATGTTTCTGATTCTTAATTATGTGCTGACTACGTGGGTCGTAACCGCACGTCTTACTACAACACATGCGATTACAATTACACCTACTAATACACGCGATCTGTGATATAACAAAAATATCAATTTTTAATTTTTATAAATCTATACTGGATATACAACGCGAATTAAAACTAAATAAATTAAACCGATCTCATACCTGCAGATAATACATCTTTCGGCCGAGTGATACAAGTCGATCGTGCTGGAACCACGCTAACTCGCGTACTCTCGTTAGCGGAAACAACAACGACAAAACCCTTTAGACGAATCAACGCGCACTGAAAAAGTTTTAAATTAACACTGTATGAGAATGATGCGGTGGCAACTTTCGCTATTTATACAAAATATGCTCGCGGGAGATATTTTATGATTGTGAGCGAATGAGTACGAACGCGAGGGAAAAGGGTCGAATGCATTTTTATATAGAGATGGTATTATGTAATAAATCACGATAATTAATTCTTTATATATTTTTTTAAGGATGTATGCATTGTAAAAAATGAAATATTAATTTTAGCTTAAAAGCGTATAGCAGATTTTTTGAGAATGCAAAAATGTTAATTATCATTAATTTTAATATTTTTGCATATCTCAGAAAATTCAATATACGTCTTTAAATTAAAATTAACAATTAATTTTTTACAGTGTGATTAAGAACGAAAAAATTTGATGAAATATTATAAATACTTGTCTTTTCTACTTCTTCGTTTTCGACACGTTTGTATAGTATATATGTGTATTTTTAATATATATATTTTATATATACATTAAAATTAATATGTTATGCATTCTAAAATCTTACGTACTTTTCCAAATTTTTATAAAATTGTAAATAAATGTCTCATACGAATTATATATTTAAAGTATAAAAGATTTAATATAACAGTTGAAACTTGAATATATCCAAATAAATAGTACCTACGTATAAAATTCTTTGATTTTTTCAATTTACATTTATTTAGAAAAAATTATTTTTTATTTTGTTCTTTCATAAAAAAAATTACAGTAATATTTTTGAAAATGTATTTTTTAATATAAAAATTTATTTTTTTACTAAATTTTATTGTTTTTACGTGATGTAATTTATTACTAATTATATTATATAAAAATATGTTATTTTTTTAAGAAAACAAATATTGCTAATATTAAAAAAAATGCTTTAGGAAGATACTATTCATAAATAAGTAACATTTTAATAAGTCAAAAATTATTTTTTGTTTCAACATTTTTTTAAGAGTGTCGAATTAACGTTACATTTATAATTTCTAATAATATGACAATGACACACACGAAAATTACCCAACGAAGGTTTATACAGATACGAATATAGAATCATATTTTTTATTTTCTAAAACACCAGATAATAATTCAACTATCCAATCAAAAGAACTACATCGTGCGTAACTGTCCGGTTGACTGTGCACTGCTTTGAGAAAAAAAATCGTCGCTAAATCAATTTCAATGATCGGTGACGATACATCACTATGACACGATAAGATATATCACCGGGACCTCGCCTAGCGTTCGTGTCGATTCGAAGGTTTTACGCGATCAGCAACTTTTAGCGGAGGGTTTCACAAAAACGAGGTGATACAATCGGCAGGATTATGTAGTACACGTGCGTATGCGTATACGAACGGGATGCGTGTAAATGTGTTGTGCTGTTATGTCGTCGATGCACTCTCCGGCACGACTGTGAATAAAGTCAGTACGTAACTACTCGGCATGCTGGTACGTTGGGTTTATATAGCATGGGTCTCTAATAAGATGATTCTTGAATAGTGTGTTGGGATTCACAGGTAGGCGGTAAGTAGAGGGGCCCCTCGTCATACGGAGGGACGGCTTCCTTGCCATGCCTTACCTTGTCGTGTCTTGCCTTGTCTTGTCTCACCCTTGCTTCATCACTGCGCCTTTACCTTGCCTTAGAATCTTTCACAGTGATCGGGGAGGGCAAAACGCGCTCGACGCTCCCTCGAGATAACGAGATCCTGGTTTCTCGTATTATGTCGAGAACGTTAGGAACGAGGGTAAATGTCTGGGAAAGACTGTTTCTTCGTACACGGCAAATTCACATTAGAACTGATTTTACTCAACGACATTAGACTGTAAAAGGGAGAGAAGCAGGGAACGCGTACATTAATTTATTTAGATTTTTTTGGAAAATGAAGATATCTTATGGTAAAAAGTAAAATAGCATCTCGCATTAAATATTAGAACTTTATAGTCACTACAGGATGTAATTAAAATAATAATTTTATTAAAAAATACTTTTCAATAAAATTATTATTAATGTAAAGGCATTCTTATTGTGTATGCTAAATTGGAAAATGTGAAACATCTGTCATGTGTGATTTAATATTATATCTAATTGTAAGATTTAATTTATGTTTAACAATGTAAATAATAATGCAATAACATAATATTATACGTACTTTCTGTCAAGAAAAAAAATTGTATATATCATACATACAAATAAATAATACGAAATAATTTGACGGATAAATGTAAAATATTTAATAAACAGCTTAGAATAAATTGCGTACGATACATATGTATATGTGATATCATTGATATCGACCCATTTATGCAACGTGGTATGAATTATATTACGATAATAAACCTACATGATGAATAAGCACTTCATCAATAAGAGAACATTATAATACATAACTACTGTGCGCGGAGGATCAAGCATTTCTGCAGTTATCCGCGTGTAATACGCGGCAGCTAATGAGAAATTATGTTCTAAATCCTCTTACTTAAATATCTCGCATTTAATACGCATAAAAAGTTTGTTTACTACTTTTATATATTTATACAGTTTCTAGTTTATTATTCCATTAAATAGATTAAGGATTGCCATCTCGATTCATTAGACTATAAGTTTCCATCATCGTGATTAGATCTAACATAATCATTACTCAACTAATGACTACCGCACAATGTTATACTACAAGTACATACTTTCTATCGGTTGCATCTTTTTTTTTTAATAGCATATAATAGTGTATTAATATTGTTGCAATTTAATTTTATTCAGATATATCAGTTTGTGTTGCAGCTCTAGAACTGAAATAGAGACAAATTAAAAAGATAATTAGAGTCTTTATAAGTAAAGAAATTATACAACAATATTCCGATTTTAGTATTGTTATTTTTAGATGATTTTTCAGAAATTATCAAATATAATGTGTGCGCGCGCGCGTGTGAATATTAATATATTTATGACTTTCCCTTTTATTTAGTTTAAATATCTATTATTCTCTTGCAATTGAAAAATCGTATTATTCCATTTATGACTCTCAATTCTTGACAGAAATGTATTCAACGTTCTAATAAATATTAAACAGATATCGAAATAAATGCGGAATTCTCGATTATAAACGAGATGATCTTAATTTCATAACTATCGCATTTTTATCTTTGCGAAAGAGATTGAATAAAGATTTCCTTCATTGTCGAAATATGCGCTCCATTGTTCATTTTAATTTCGTTATTGGAATTTTGTAACGTAAGATTCGTTTATATTCCTGTCAGCCGTCGGTTATTTAACATTTGAAGTTGCTAAATCAAGATTCAAAGATCCACGTCGTAGCTATTCTGTAGCAGTGAATGGCGATCTTCGTCCAGTTCTTCTCGAAAGAAGACAGTTCTTTACCACTTGATGCACGCGGCGTTCGCTCTAGGAGTTTCCAATACGGTCATGCGCGTAATCGATGGCGTAATATGAGGTTTCGAATTTACCGAGCATTGAGAGACTCGTCCGTGCTTCTCCCGTGACGTTTAACCCTTTCATAACTCTTCCGCAAACCCGAAGAGAAATTCCCGTATCACATTCAATCGCTGTAAAATCGCTTCCTCATATTCTCATGAATTTTTATATCAGTGCCATTGATTAATTGACTTAAAAAAGAACTTACTTGCACTATAACAAGGAAAATATTAATTTATCTTTCAACGCGTTAATGGAGTTGGAGATTATATCAAATTCTACATTACAATAATCGATTATATTAATTTTTCTAAAATAATACTACATTTTTTTACGTTATTTATTTTTACATATAGATTACTATTAATGAGTGAAATATTTGGTAAAAGGTTTGTAAATTTTTTTCTGGAAGGAATAGAATATATAATTTCCATTTTAGATGAAAAAAATGTTAAAACATTTAATTTCCGTACTTTACTTTATCTTTTTATTGTATTATATTTTGCTTATTATAGCATGTAAATTACTTTTGAGAAGACTTTTATTGCATTACATACTTAAAAATAGTGATATATTTGATTAAAAATAATTATTTAAATGTTAATTACAATTTATCTCATTATATTTTGCTAATTAGACTAGAAAATGCATAAAACATAATAAAGTATATAATATTGAAGAGAAGATCGAATTGAAAAGAACTAAAGAAATCATGTACAACTACATTTGGTATTTTGTAATTATAGTTCAAAAATACGTGATAGATCCTTGCCTATGATTATCTATATACGTGGACAACTGATGCGCTTGAAATGACACCATGGAATGCCGATTTGTGATGAGAAAGTAAGCTTCTCATCACTAGCGCCAGGATGATATCGAACGGATCACAAGGAAGACATTCTCTTCCTTGATTTTTTTTTAATTCACGGGGCTGGCAATAGCTTGCCGATGAAAAATGGGAAACGCATATTTAAATAATGAGAAATATTGCGATTCGATCAGCGGCTGCTTTGCGCGAGGATAAATCATGACTTACGCGAGCGCGCTTATTTATTTTTTTATTTCCGTTTATTATTAATTTTATACAGTGCAAAATGCAAAATATTTCTCTTGATCGCACTTAATTAAATTTCCTTTTATGCTTTAATTTATTTCCCGAATGTATAAATGTATTATATTATTATCTACATTGAATTTTGCTGAATAATATTGATTTAAAAATAATATTAATTATGTGTGTAATGTGTTATTTGAAAAACTATCTTTTTTTTACGTATAAAAGAGGAAGTTTTTAAAAGTTCTAAAGAATTTTACATTAAAATATATATTCTTGTAAACTTTCTCAATTTTTTATTCGCAATCAGTAACTTTAATAAAAAATTATATATTCAACAAAATAACGGTGTTAATTATTGAATGCAGTAAAAGCAACAAGACGTTCTAAGAATTACTTTGGTATGTCATCATACATCACGAATGTAATTTTCTATTTCGTAATTTTTTATTCATATGTAATCGAAACGCTCCGATCATTAAAATCGTAATGGAAGATCTGCAAGATGAATCTTCTTTTTGCTCCTTCTCTATTTTTACTATGCCAATTTCTTTCAACGAATATTATCTTTTAATAAATATCACATAAAATTTACTTTATTATATAAGAAGAATTACCCCATTCCGCAAAATGTACTTTGATATATGCAATATGAATATATTTATGTTTTATACATATATGATATATAAATATGTTATATGTATATATATAAATTTATATATATATATATATATACCATTTTATTACATTGAAAGCTTTCTGGCATTTTCCGGTGCTAGGAGATGCCGAAACATCCTTTCAGCGCTACCTAGAAAGTTCCTGATAGGAACAAGTGAACAATGACATATTTAAATTGTGAAAAATGTTTTGAAAAACTTTAATGTGATCTCAACACCTGAAAAAACTTGTGGAAAACATACCAATGAAGACACCATCAACATACCATCGTTTTCACTTCATATTCATACTAATACTATAATTGCTTTAAGATAGTGAGTTGACTAACGAGTTGTAAGTATTGACTTGTTGACTTTTAAACTTCATTATTTGTAAAGTACTCAAGGAAAAAATACTTTATTATAGTGTTTTGAAAAGAATTTGAAATTAACTTATGACAAATATTAAATTAAAAATAAAGATTTTTATACAATATTGACCTGACTATAAGAATATTTTTCAACCGATGTTACTTTCTTTCTCTTTAGCAACCGAACAACTTTTATCTGAAACATTTTTTGAAATATTTTAGTGGATTAATTAAAACAGACCACTCTCTATATGTGTGCGTGTATGCACATATATGTATAGTTTACATGCATGTGTATATACAATGTATGTATACAAGATGTGTATATATATGATTTACTTACATATCATATTTAAAACTATTGTAATGTTATATTATATTTATTGTCCTTTCAAAATATAATATGATTATTTATACATATATCTTACCAAAATATAAAACGACAATTTTTAATTGATATGTCTGCTATGCCTTTCTAATGCAAAGATTTTCTAGAATACCGATTGGTCTTTTATGGTGTCTATCGATGGATCGCATAATTTATCCGCTTAAAGAGTTTTTTTATTCACATATCTTCAACGTTTATATTTAGAAAATTAAAATTTTTGCTTACAATCTTATTTGACATCTATCTACTATATTCAAGCATTGATTATCTGTTATTAATGTATAAATAAATGCTATTTCAATTTGATAATAATGAAGAGTATTTCTTCATGAGATTGATATTCACTTCTTCCATTGGCGTGAAATGAAAAATTAAATATATGCATATATAAAATAATATTTTCAAGCAAGCCTGTTTAAGAATATAGCTATACCTAATCAATTACGAAATCGACAATTGTAGAGTCTAACAAAACTGTCATGCAACGGTGGACAAGCGTTGACGTGAAAAATCTATTTCTA